GTTGCTTGTGGGTCCGTCACAGTATCACACGCTGAATTCTAAATGATCTCTAAGAAGCACCCACTCTTCCACATTGCAATTGGTTCGCCAAGTTCCGAATGTTGAAATCATTGCTCCATGCCAATCCAGACAAATCAGTGGTTTTCTTTCCACCGAAAGTTCCTAAAACCAGCATAGAACTGCCGAGCGACTGAATTTGTAAACCCTGCTCCCAGATTCAAATTCCAAAGCACAGATGGAATTCCGCAGGTTTCGGAGTCGTCCAAGTCCAGGAACTTCGTCCGGTCGAGCGCTCCAGCACTTCTGCCCAAGGTCTTGGTGGCCGTGCAGCAGGACGGCAGCGCCCTGAAGTTCGCAGCAGCCGCTCTGCAGGCGGAGACGGAGGTGGCCTCGCGGCTGCAAAAGCCGACTGAAAGCGGTGGAAAGGAGATTTCTCCTTTTTGCCGGGCGTTGGGCCAAAATTGCAAGGTTAAGGAAAATTGTTTGTTTGTTTGTCTCACTATCACACGATCAATTCTAAATGATGTCAACGATCTCAATAAAGGAATCAAACGACCTAAGAGACGTCTAACACAAGGATGTTTGGGACATGTCTCTTCTTCAGTCTCGGAGTGCTAGCCCACGACTTCTGGTGTTCTCTTGCCAGTGTGTGGCCAAAATATGGTCGTTTTGTTTATTGTATTTTTCTTTGCGCTGTTCACAGTCGTAAGCATTCTGTTTTGCGCGTCAACAGTTTGTGCCGGTTAAGCGTCAGTTTGGTCATAAGGTTTACAGAAATGCATAAAACTGTTTTTGCATGCTTAAGTGAGGTTCGGCCAGATTCGCCTCAAGTGATCGCTTCAGAGGCTGAGTTATCTTTGTTGTTTCACTAAACTCACTCGGAGTCACCAAACCTATTTCTGTTCATGTCGCTCACGTCGAGGTGTAAGCTGCCATATTCCTTTGCACATTTGTAAGACACCACTAATACATGCTGAAAGCAACTGGGTTTGCAGGAGTGAAGTTCCGTTGTAACCAATATCTCCGCCGCAGATCTCATTCATTTTGCGGCCGGCCAGTGACAATTAAAACTTGTTGACAGTTTGTTGAAGTGGGCACAGCAGAATGTCGGTTTTGCATTTGCTAGTTTACCTATAATGCCCTCAAAGTCTTGTCCAAGTTCTAGTCAAAGTTGCCCTCGCTCTTTGTCTCGATGTCGCAGCGCTCACACAGCGTCAAGGGCCGGCGATTGATCCGAGATATTTCGGTCGGACCAAAATGAACCTCAATCTATGGAAAAAGATGGATCCGACAGCAGGAATTGACATACTACACATGGCGCCAGGGCATGTGATTCCCGACTTCTACCTTCTTCTCTAAGAAAACTCTGTGTGTGTGTCCACCATTCTCATGCATTTGCAACGAAAGATGTCGTTTGAACACATCTGAGAGACCTCCAAAATCAAAAAAAGAAAAAAACATGTCCAAATTAATGTCTTCATGGAGCCGGCCCAACCCGACTTAGCGGTCTCCCGGGGCCGATCCTCTCCGCCTCTCCGCCTGCACCGAGGTGCGCGCTTCCTGGCTGGCACGCATACTCGAAGACGGCACAGCGCTGCAGGAAGCCCCGGAGGACCTCCGCGGCGACAGGGCGTTCCTGCTGGAAGCGGTCAGGGCCACCAAGGCCCCCTGGCTCGTCCAGCTGGCCTCGAAGGCGCTGCAAAAAGATGGGGAGCTGGTGAAGCAACTGAAGCACGTGGCCGGAACGGGCCTGGTTTTCACCTGGTACCGCAGCTACGACTGCTTCCAGAAGCTGCGGGACGTGATCGTGGCCACGGGGGCCTCGGTCCCAGGCGGCGAGGCCTACAACGCAGTCATGGAGCGATTGAACAAGACTGAGGGCGGTGCCTGGGCCGGGGCGGTGGCGGTCCATTCCGGAGAGGAGGGGAAACATGAGTCGAGAATCGACTTACTTTACGACGACTTTCTGTGATTCGAAGAGTTTTGGTGTGAAGTTGTCTGATTGGTTGGACCCCTTCTCACCTGAAAATCAATAAAAACTGGTCCTGGAACAAATTCGATGGTTGGATGCATTGATTGTTTTGGGGCCCCAATACTTGCATGACAGTGTGAGCCCAGAGGTCTCCAAAGCTTACCAAAAGTAAACAGTCTTCAATTTGGAGCTGCCTTCTTTTTTGATACTCCCAGAAGACAGCAAAACTCTCCCAACTCGCTTGCTGGATCTGTGATGCCACGTCTGACCCAAATGGCTTGAGAACAGTGTTTGTTTAAACTCTGTTTGCCAATACCCCTTTTCAATCCTTTTCTGAAAACCTGCTTTTGGATGGGCCCTTGGAATCTGAAGGTCTCTGTGCAGCACAGTTTCTTAAATGGACCAGGCTTGGCGTCCAGGTGAGTCCACCTCTTTCTGCCTGCTGTAGGTGTAAAACAGCCAATGTGCGGACACCCTCCACATCGCTCCGCGTGAAACGTTGGAACCAACAATCCAACTGATCCTCTTAGTCAATGCGTCAAATGATCGTTATATCGCTTTAAATGCATGTTTCTGAAAGTCTACATGAATAACATTGTCGTGTTGGACAAAGTGATGTTCTAAGTTGCTCGTCACTGTGGCCACTGCTCACCCTCTCAGGATCAGCCACTGTGTGGTTTGACGCGGTCCCGGTCTGGGGCTTTGAGGCCAACGGCGCCAAGTGGCGCCATCCGTCCACCGACTGTGGACGCGACAATGTTCCGGTACCGCCACCGGAGGGACGCGACCCGATGTGGGACTCCCTCGTGGAGTCCCGGGTCTCGAGGGAGGCACCGGCAGTTGGCTCAAAGCACCCGTGCCACTTGGTTTGTGTGCCAAACAGCATCAGGATCTTCATGGAATGTTTTTTTGATTTGATTCCTTCAGCCGATTCCTTCTCCACAACAAAATGGAGTGCGGCTTTGGTGTGGCTAGACACTCATGTCAACATTGTTTGCCAAGGCTGGTGCTGCCATTGGCTGCGCAAAGTGAAGCAGAAGCAGGCTGAAGGCGCAATCATTTGCTGCGCGGTATCGAACATCTACAATGACGCTGCTGGGCTTCTAATATTCTCCTGAAGAGACGTGTGTGTGTGTGTGTGGGCGCCCCTTTCTCTCGTCTTTCAGTTTTTGGTGGTTCATATGATTTCAGGATTTGGATCAATCGTTCTGACTGAAAGAACTGAAAGTGTGTCATCAAATTCGAGAAGCCACTCCCCTGTTGATATTCTCCTGAAGAGGTGCCGCTTCTCATTCTTCCAATATTGCAACTTCGGAAGGCGTGCTCTGGAAGACAAGCGAACCCACGGATGGCAGAGAGAGAGAGAGAGAGAACGTGTAGACTCTAGACGTAGACAAATCACCTGATGGGCGCATTCGCTAGAACTGGCTCGTCCCACTGGGAGCTCCGGGAGCCGAAGGGGCGGTTGAAGCGGTTCTGCTCTCTGCGCCGCACCGAGGACTGGGTGGAAGACTTCGGTGCCGGATCGTCGGAGCTTTCTGACAGCCTCGCTGAGCAGTACGGCCTTCCCAAGAGCCTTTGCTGTTTTTCAGCTTCCTAAGGACCCACGTGGTCACGTGGGTTCTGTCTAGAATCTACAAGTGGCTGTAATGTATCATGTCATTCCAGATTCCTACACACAGGATCAGCTAGTGTTTCAGGTTTTGACCATGTGTTTGTTTTGATTTTGCGGTTTTAGCATTGTTTGACTCATGGACTGTTTGATATCATTTATTGTGAGAGGGCCATGTGGCGGAGTGCGCAAATCTATCCGAGGGAGCGCTTCAAGAATGGCCCGCCACCTGGTTGGGGGG